TTCTGTGGTTTTCAGGAAGCTCACACTCACTTAAAATGCAGTGTTTTTCTCTCAGCTGGTGTATTGCTGAATGTGTATTGCTCTCCCCTGACCTCATTTGTTGCTGAAAGTTTTTTTTCATGTATGTTTTACTTCTGCAGTTGCTTTCCGCATCTACGATATGGACAAAGATGGTTACATCTCAAATGGTGAGCTCTTCCAGGTGCTGAAGATGATGGTGGGGAACAATCTCAAAGACACTCAGTTACAGCAAATTGTAGATAAAACCATAATTAATGCAGATAAGGACGGTGATGGAAGAATATCCTTTGAAGAATTCTGTGCTGTAAGTAACCTCTCAGGAAAACTCAGTTTGGTATGGTGGACTGAACACAAGAGCAGACCTTAACACTTTTTAATACAGAGATGCATGCTAGCTTGCTATGAGGATGTATGTTGGATTCAAGTCTTCGTGCTGGTGAAGAAAAAAGCAGCTTTAAAGATAACTTGCAATTTACTGGCTTTTCACAGGAGGTTGGATTTATCTGTTTTCAATGATAAAAAAGAAACAGAGCTTTCAGTTGTTCTCACAGTCTCCAGCTGCTTAACAGAATAGACTGAGTGAAAAAATCAAGAGCAGTGGGCAAGCATACTCAGCCCACTGAGTGAAGAAATGCTTCAAGTTACCTGGAAAGTGTAAGAACAGTATTTTATAGCAGGTGTCTCTTTAAAACACTTCTCTCAGAGGTGGTAGATGGAGCATTCCGCAGGGGTTAACCTCAGGTTAATCTCCCTGTCTCTAAAGTAGGTGCCTGCTCCAAATCACCCCTTAGAAAGGTTTATCTTTCTGCAGGGAGAGAGCCTGGGGAGATTATCACCCTCTGCAGAAGGCAGGGATTGTACAAAGGCCAGGATGGTGGGATTTGTGTCACTTATGGGGAGAGTAACGGCAGAGTTCTGCTCTTGAAGGACGAGCAGGTGCATCCTAAGACTGGTGAATGCCGCTTTGCAAGGGCTCCTATCTTCCCCTTTCAAAGATGCACTGCTTTAAATGCTGTTCTAGAAGATGGCATTTCAGCCAAGCTGTGGAAACACGATACAAAGTCAGGACAGGAGGTGAGGAGGAGAGAAACCAAAGTGTTGTAAGCTGCAGTGTTCTGCCGGGCTGATGGTGTGCCTGGTGCCCGTGTAATTACGTTGGGTGACACTTAATTTGTCTGCATTGCACACTGCTCTTGGGAAATGTGGATTAGACTGGAGAGGATATGGAAGTATAGTGAGTGCAGTAGGCACAGATGTGTCTTCTGAATGCAGCGTGCACTTTCTTTCTTGCTGACTTTCCCTTCTGACTTGCTTACAAGTGCTTGTTTTTCTCCCAGGTCGTAGGAGGCCTAGATATCCACAAAAAGATGGTGGTAGATGTGTGACTCTGTAGGGCACCACCCAACACTTTTGCTTTCTTCTCCATCTCTGAAGATCTGCTCAAGACGTCCAGCAATGCTCTCTGTGTATTTAAATGGAAGTATTTTTCTCTGTGAAGCCACATTTTCCAACATGAGCCTCGTGAAGCCAACTAAGTGTTATTGAACTTTGATTCTCTCAATAACTCGGTGTAGCACTTTAAAGTCTGAAGGACAGCAAAGATGGAAAGAGCATATCAGTGTGGTGGAGAAAGGGAAGGGGTTGGCTTTTTAATTTATTTTTCTTCATCTTTTATAACAAGGAAATATCTATCTATATATATATATGTGTGTGTGTATTTATATATAGATATATATGTAGCTTTCTATATGTAGTAGCTAGGTGGGCTTTAATTTAATATACTTGATTCAGAAACGAAACTAGAGTACAAAGTGCCAAGCAGAATATTAACAGTTCAATATATGGATATACATCCTTACTTTTATTTCACACAGTTTTATATATATAGTAGAAGAATGTAAAATTTTAACTGGGTGTTAGGTCAACTCTTCTCCTTTTCCTGTGACTGTTCAGATGTTTCTATATATTGACTGGCTGACAAAGCATCGCTTCTGATTAATTTACCTTAATGACATGTTTTGTAACACAGGAGACTAAGTTTATTTATACCTGTTAATATATTACCAGGGACTGTGTCTCTTTGCTAAATAACTCAGTACAGTTCTACTTAATATAGTTTAATGCTACTGCCAAGAACCAGCCCTCGTGTGCAAATAGTAAGTGCAGAACGCTTCGATGGCCACTAGATTTTGTCACCTAGCGACTGGGGGTGGTCACAGCTGTCCCAAAGTTTATGCTCACCTGCTGTTTTGGAGTCATTTTAGACACGGCTGCTCAAGGTGTTAGACACATCGATTTGCTCTTGTGCTTACCTTAATGAAATTAGGGTCTGTGTAACTGCAGGATCCCCATCTACTTACTTTATGCAGGACGTAGATTATAAAGCATTTTTGCCACTTAAATTCTCTTGTTTCAGCTGTGATGGTTTCCCCTCTGCATTTAAAGAACATTACAGGTAGCATAAATAACTGGTAATATTTTATATATATATATATATATATTTATATATATATGTATGTATATGGGATTCATACGGGCAAAAATCTTGTTAAGCTATGCCACAGAGGAGGAAAACTTCACGCCCTCTAAATTGATACCTCTTGCAGTTCTCCAGTCCTTTGCCTGGAGAATTTTTTCTTTTCTAGACTTGTCCATATCATAATTTGTAACCGAGGGTAACTTGATGTATTTGTGTGATATAAAAGTAGCGAGCCATGTTTTACAACTTTATATCATCCCTTCCCTTTTCTGCAATGGTACTATTGGCTGGAAGAAAAACATTTGCTAGATTTTTTAGGACAGTACATCTTTCCTGTATAGTAGTTTTTCTATTAAAAAAGAATTGTTTTATAATCAGCATTGGAAAGTGCAGGTTGTCTGAATCTACTTCTATCGAGCACCTGTCTGCCATAGCTGTTCCTTCGACTGAGTGCTGCACATCCATGGGCTCTGTCTGTGAGAGAAATCCAGGTGCTTGGTGTCCTTGCATGACATGAAGTTTTGCATGTAGATCGATTTGAAATGTTCCTCTTGTTTACATAATTTGCATAATTTAAACGATAATGTTGCCAAACTTTGGTAAATGTTAATGTTCAAAACAAAAATCTCCACTACGTGTAACTTTCTTCCTCTGGATCAGTACGTGGCTTATAATCCCAGCCAGTGGTTGTATCTGTTCCAGTGTCAACTGCCATGTGCTCTGCTTCAAGGGGGAACTGGTCTTTTGTGAATTTTTTGTACATAAGTATTTGTTACAAACATTTTAGCAGATGCTTTTGATTTCTCTTACTTGCTTGTGCATATCTGGGCTGTTGGTATAGAAATTAGTGCTGCCGTTATTTCCTTCAGGGGGGATTGGAAGGGGAGGGATGAGGTTGTTTTTTTTTTTTAGTTTGTGTGGGGAAAAATGATTTCTGTTGAATGTTTAGTTTTTCCTCTGCATGCTACATCATATGTTGTGGGAACTATAAGAACCTTCATACTATATGAATACAAAATAAAATATTTGAACCTTGGTTTGGGTGCCTCAGTACTTACCTGGACACTCCCCAATAAACCTAGGGCAGCTCCATGCCCTGCTCTAGGAGCAAGTTGCTGCTCAGAGTGTTTGTCCCTTAGCTGAGCACCCCTAGGCTTTGTTCAGGTGTTTCCAGACAACTTCTGTATTTTTTTTAAAGGCCCATCCGAATCTCTACTTAGATCAAACGCCTTGGATAAGCGGGGCTAAACTCACAGTGGTTGATGCTGTGCTGTTGGAAAACACAAACCTCTAACCTTACTGCAGGTGGAAACAGCCAGCTTCCTTTCTCAAGGCAAATCACCTCTGCTGGTGAAGGCAGTCCTTGGTGGTGAAATCCCTTCACAGAAGCAGCCCAGGAGCTGTTTGCTGTTGCCTTTCATGCATCCTGTTGATTCCTGCACCCTAAAGGCAGCCCCTGAAGGTGTGGGGGCCTCCCTCCTGGTTTGGGCTGCCTTTTGCAGCCCTGTGCTCAGGTCAGTGTCAGCACACACCTGCTTTAGGAGGAAGATTAAATCACTTTCCTACATCCACGCCCCGCTTTCCCCTCCTGCCTCTAGAGCTCACTGACATAACTGACATACAGAGAATGGACAAACTGCTACTGGGGAAGTGCACTGCTTTTCCTTGAGCTACCTTGGACCCTTTTCTCAGTACAGATCAGACTTCACAGGTAACTAAAGGGAACTCAGACAGCTCTGCACATCTTAAATCCATTAGTGATTGAAGGCTTGAATTTATTTGGCTGTAAAAACGTTACCAGGCTACATAAGTATTATCCAGCTGTAAAGTGCTGCACAGTTAACTCAAACATTGAGAGAAACACCTCCTCAATTTGCTGATGTTTTTTGGATCTCGTTTCACTTTCTGTTTTGATTCACAGACCTAAACTGAGCTGCTTTGCGTAAGTCCTGGTAATGAGTTTAAGTGGGGAGGGCAGCAATAAGGTGCCCAGGCTGCGCAGTCTCTCCCCCTCCTGCTGCAGGCAGCATTTTAAGAGGGAGGATGTGCAGCACCGGCAGCTGTCTGCGCTCCAGTGCATGGGCACTGCCAGGGCACGGCCTTACCTGGAGGTTCTTAGCATCACTACTCAGATGCCCCTGCAGATCATTCCTGAGAACAAAACAGGAATCCAGATAAGCGCAGATTCTGAAGCTGAGTGCAGAGATGCTGTTTCCCTCTTGGCCTTCACACTGTCTCTTCCTGTGATGCACTGCTGCAGTAGCAGATTCTCTTCCAGCAGCCTGCTCTCAGCACTGCAATGGGAGCTTCCTTTTTACAGAAAGATGCTGACTGGTCTGTGGTTATGAACACTTAACGCTGCTGACTGCTTTCAGCTCCAGACTTCAAGGCTTTCTCAAGTCTTGTGAACGGTCTTGCAGTACTTGGGTAATCAGAAAGTCACTCTCAAGTCACGTTTTGGCTTGAGAATAAAGCAAAATCAGGCACCCATACTTCAGTATATGGTTTCATCATTTATAGAATAGCTTTTAATGGCTGTACACAGATTGTGATCAAAGCAGACAGTATGCCTGCAGTATATCAGACTGCACAAACAGTCCCATTTTCCTTCTGTGCTTCCCAGTCCAGCAGAAGGCAGAGTGCTTCCATAGCCTCTGTGACTGCACAGTTTGTGCCCGCAGCACCCACGCTCCCCAGCCACAGTCCTCAGTAAAGCAGCACCACTGCATCTCAGAATCTTTCAGCTGCTCTGCTGGCCACAGCCCTAATATTGCCGTAAACTTTGGATGGTGGGCTTCCTGCAGGAGAAAGTACATCTTAGTACATGCGATACAGAAATGCTGTTCTGCTCTGATGTTTACATCTGTGTCAGTGTGGGGAATTTGAGCCCCTCCTCTCAGGCACAACCACCACCTCCCAGCAAGCTACCTGCTCCAAATGCAGGTGCAGGCACAGCAGGGGGCAAGGTGAGACTGCAGAAAGCACCTTTCAAAACAACCATTTTGCTGTAATAGAGAAGGTCTGGCACCAGGACTTACCTAAAATTAGATTGCAAATTGCTGTTCGTGCCATTTTAATGTTCTGAAAAGATCCTAGAATGTGAATTTTCCTGTAAAAAGCAGCCAAAGCAATAACAGTTAATGTAAGAAATGCAGTGCTGAACGTCATTAATAAATAGCACCTCCCTCACACTGGAGTTGAAGCACACCAAGCAGAAGTTGCATTCACTGGTTTGTTTTCCAGTCACCATAAAAATCCTCCACAGGGTAGAACCTCTCCTAAATCCTTTTAAGGATATGCTTTTACAGTTTGCAACGTCGCAGCTCTGCGAAATGACAGCTGCAGGGTTGGAAGGTTCAACTTTGTTATTCACAGGAAGGAATTCTTCAGCTGCGTGGAAGCAGTTCTGAATGTGCCCACGATACTCAGAACAGAAGGTCAAACCCTTCAACGCTGCTCACGAAAAACAGCACTTTCAGCATCAGTGAGACAAATGATTTACAGGAGTTTACAGCAACTTAAGCCCTCTCAGTTCCTGGAAGCTGGCTGGCTTAGCTCAGGGATTGCACTGTGACGGGAGGGATGTCAGTACTTACGAGTCAGCAAGAACGATCCGTGTTCTTGTTACGTTTTCTATAGTGAATTTTGTTTTTCCACCTTTCCCTGCTATTCTCCCTATTGCTCTTGACAGATGGTCTCCTTTCAGAGGTTTGACTAAAACGAGAACAAAGCACTCAGTCAAGCAGCAGCGGTGTGTATCCTCTGTAACGTTTCCTCTACTCAAACAAAGGGAAAAGCATGCAATCAACACGTGTTGAAACAGCAATTTTAGGTGCTGCTCTCCTTGAGATCATCTCCAGGGACTCCCAGCAGCACGTGAATGTTTGTGATGTCTGCTTCCTGCTGCTATCACAGCACTAAGAGGAAGAGAACCCAGTTCCAGTTTAAGTCTAACAGATGTGTTCCCCCAAAACGTTCCTTCTGACATTTAAGCTTGAAAAAAAGATTTCTGGTGATGAGAAAAGCCCAATCAATTGCACGATCTGAAAAACTGACAGTTTCAAGGATGAAAATCTGGAGGCTTGTGCTGGGAGAGCAAGCTTCCTGGACCTAGATAGTAATGCTGTGTACTGGCACCAAGGTTCTCCTGATCCCCAAGGTTAAGTGACACACGTGGAGAAGAGGAAAAGAGCAAAAATGTGCTCAGGCAGTGCATGTGGGCTGCTTGAATAGCACAGCAGAAACTACTCACCATCTGTAACTTCAAATGACTCTAGGAAAAGGTCATCTAATCTGATGAGAGCAAGAGCATCCTAAAATATTCAGAAATCTGTTATCAGTGTGAGCATTACAACACCACCACCACACAGTTCCAAGTTTTTCTTTAGACACCCAAACAGATCACATCAGTAATGTATCTCTATTGATGCATCAAACATCGGTCTTAATTTCAAACATTATGGAAAACCTCTGTGAAGATTTTGATTTCTTTAATGTAATTTTCAATCAAGTTTGAGCAATACCAGAACCCGGCTTCTTGGAGACTCACCTCCACCTGAAAGCCAAGTATGAATGCTTTCACAAAGTCGGCTGCTTTTGTCAAAGCACTGAGGTCCTTTGTCTCCGGACAGGTCTGCAGAACAAAGTTATGTTTCCAAATTAAGAAGGGGCAAATAGAATCAGGACTTGGAAAATCTATGAGATAAAAGCTAGCCATAAAAAAGAAAGCCAAAGCCACATTTCTGTAATGCCACTTCTGTGTTGTGTTCTATTGAAAGACACGAGCAGTGTACGTTGTGTTTAAAACAACAGGCTGCACACAGAGCTGTGGTGCCCCATCCCTGCAGGTGCCCAAGGCCAGGTTGGATGGGCCCTGGGCAGCCTGAGCTGGTGGGGGGCAGCTGGCCCATGGCAGGAGGGTAGAACTGAGCGGGCTCTGAGGGCCCTTCCAACCCAACCATCCTGTGATTTGTTCCACAACGATCCTCTGGAATCCTTATTACAGCCTACGCTTGGGGGAAGGGAGAAACTGAAGAGATGGGTGATTATCGGAGGCACCTCGAGGAGGGCGAATGGCTCTAATGACGGCATCCCGGAAGCGTTTCAGCAGGTGATCACAAAACACGGGTTCAATAAAACATAAGGAACAAGAGAAAGAGGAACGAGACGATACGCAGAGCAGCGCTCACCTTGATCTCAACGTTCCTCGTCTTTAAGTTAAACCTGATCTGGAGCTGCAGGTGTTCCACGATGGGCGTGAATATCTTCATCCAGTTCTCCTTCAGCGGGGTGTACCTGTTGGCCGGCACCGGCACCCTCCTCACCTCTCCTTTCCCCACCTGCGGACAGCGGGGCGGTGAGCAGCGAACACGGGCGGATCCCCCCGGCCCAGCCGCTCCCCCCAGCCCCGCGCTCACCCCCAGGGCCGCGACGGGCAGCGGCGGGAAGGCGGGCCTCTTGCCGGGCCGCAGCCCGGTCGCCTCCGCCGCCTCCGCCGCCTCCATCGGCTCCGCGCCCTCCGCTCTCCGCTTCCTCCGCCCGCGTTTGGAAGCCACGCTCGTGAAGCCGCTCTCGTCCGCCGCTTCGGTCTCCATGGCGACGACCGCCGTACCGGAGCTCGCGCCTCTCCACCCGCCGCGTGGCCCTTGGCCGGAAGTGCCTGCGGCTGCTTCCGGTCCGCCCTCCCTCCGGCTTCCCGCGGCGGCCGCGGCGCTTCCGGCGCTCGGTATGTCGGCGGCGGGGTCGGAGCGGCCGCAGGTGGTGGCGCACGTGCAGCAGTCGCTGAGTTACACCGTGTTCGACTGCAAGTGGGTGCCGTGCAGCGCCCGCCTGCTGTGCCTCGGCAGCGCCCCGCGCGGCACCGGCGTGCTGCAGCTGTACGAGCTGCGCGGCGGGCGGCTCCTGCTGCTCAGCGAGGTGAGCGGGCAGAGCCGGTGGTGATGCGGGGCGGCCCCTCCGGGTCGAGGGGTCCTCGGCGCTGCGCCCAACCTGCCTTTTTTTTGTTGTTGTTCCTGCAGATCGAAAAGGCCAAGCCGATAAAATGCGCGACTTTCGGGGCCGCCTCCCTGCAGCAGAGGCACCTGGCAACGGGGGACTTCGCAGGCAGCCTCAGCATCTGGTGAGCGCCTCGGGTCCGGAGTGCTGCAGTACAGGAAAGACAGGGAGCTGTTGGAGAGGAGAGCGGCAGGATGATCGGGGGGCTGCAGCACCTCCCATATGAAGACAGGCTGAGGGAGCTGGGCTTGTTCAGCCTGGAGAAAAGAAGGCTGCGGGGTGACCTCAGTGCAGCCTGCAGTACCTGAAGGGAGCCTACAAACAGGAGGGGAATCAACTCTTTGAAAGGATAGATAACTGCAGGACAAGGGGAAATGGTTTTAAGTTGAGGGAGGGGAGATTGAGGTTGGACATGAGGGGGAAGTTCTTCACTATGAGTGGTGAGGTGCTGGAGCAGCTGCCCAGAGAGGTTGTGGATGCCCCGGCCCTGGAGGTGTTCAAGGCCAGGTTGGATGGGGCCCTGGGCAGCTTGGTATTAAATGAGGTTGGTGGCCCTGCGTGTGGCAGCGGTTGGAGACTTGTGATCCCTGAGGTCGCTTCCAATCCTGGCCATTCTGTGATTCCGTGCTCCTGAGATCTGGGCTGGTGGGGAGGCTGCAGCTGGGCTGTTGCACCGATGCTGACTGCTGAAGGCGGCGCTGTGTTATCTGTTCTTTTCTCACTAGGAATTTAGAAGCTCCCGAAATACCCGTGTATTCTGTGAAAGGTCACAAGGAAATCATTAACAGCATAGATGGTGTAGGAGGCCTGGGAATTGGGGAAGGTGCACCAGAAATTGTGACGGGCAGTCGAGATGGTGAGTGGGTGAGCTCTGCTCAGTTTACCATCCATCATCCCTGGATGAGGTCTGTGGGCACTGGGATGGAGGGCAGCCATGCCCGGCCGTGCTACTGAACCCAACCCGTGCTTGGGATGGGTTTCCTTTCCTTGCTTTTGGAGCTGCAGGGCAGCTAAAGATACTCTTGCCACTGAGTGAGAGACAGAAGGAATACAAAGCAGAATAAATAGAAAATAGCAGCTGGAGTTTGGATGGGGCCCTTGGCAGCCTGGTGTAGTATTAAATGGGGAGGTTGGTGGCCCTGCATGTGGCAGGGGGGTTGGAGATTCGTGATCCTTTGAGGTCCCTTCCAACCCTGGCCATTCTGTGATTCTATGGAGATCTTACGCCTTCCAGGTGATTTTCCTTTGTTTCTGTTTGTTATCCTGTTTCGCTTTTCCTTATACATTGAAGCAGCCTGGAGGGGTCCGGCTGCCTTTGCCTGGGGACATGAGAATGGTGCATCCATAAGGCTGACTGCTCTGCCCTCCTCCTTAGGCACTGTGAAGGTCTGGGACCCACGGCAGAAGGAGACTCCTGTCGCTAACATGGAACCTGCGCAGGGAGAGAGCAAAAGGGACTGCTGGACTGTGGCTTTTGGTAACCCATCACAACAGCCTCCTCTAATGTGACTGCATTTTGACAATTATCAAACTACTGAAGGCAGGGTTTGTTGTTCAGTGTTGCCAAATTTGTGTGTTTCCAATGTATTTTAAAGGCTGTTCATCACGTTTTGTGGCAGTTGGCTCAGGCATCATTTTCTTACCATCTATGGTCAATTGCTTCACAGATAAGCTTTATTCATGGGCATTTTTACAGCCCTAGCATGGGAATTGAAAATTTCTATGTCTAGGAATGTAAAAGCAAAGGAACTGTTTTGTTCTGGAGGGGTCTAAGTGAGGTTGTGCACGGAGAACCAATAGCTGGTGTTGTGTAGTTCCAGCTGTCAAGCATTAAGACATTAATTTAAGTGACAATCCTCAGAGCTAAATAAAGGCAGCAGAGGTGCTTGACTCGTGCTCAGCACTTTTCCTTTATAAAGGGCAAGCTGCTTGCATTGTACACCAGCAGGTGTTTCTGGATTAGCTCTGTTTCTGCTTCCAGAGTCAGGCAGTGAGTTTTGCAAACTGCTAATGCATGCATGGATTATAATAACAAAACAGGAGATGGCATTTCTTGGCAAGGAGGTCCAGCTTCAGTGCCTGTTGCTATTGAGATCTTTGCCTTCTGTTTTGACTCACGGAAAGAAAAGTGGCCTCGTACTTCCTTAGATTTGCCTTTGAGTTCCAGATGCTGGAGCCCAGGCCACATCCATCCCAAACTCTGCGCTCTCCATCCAGGTGAACTTCTGGCAGCCACTGCTGTGCCTCCCTGAGCCTGGCTGCTGGGAAGCAGTGCTGAGATGGCTGGTGATGGCTGTGGTAACACCCAGTGTCTCCTCAGCACTGCTGAGCATGGTTTGCAGCAGCTGAAGCAGTCTGTGTAACTCAGGCAGTGCGTGGCAGGGGGAATGAAAACTTGTTGACCCTGTTTAAAGAAAAGGACTGCCAGGTTTGAAGCTGTGTTTTCGATACCTTTCAGGCCTGAAAAACAGCCTGCTCATTTAATCTTACTATAGTAATGCTTTGCTGGCATAAATCTAAGTTGAAATTGCTGACTTAAGACAACTCAAAGTTACAGCCTAAGAGGGGTTTCTGTATTTTGATTAATTCTGTCTCTGTGTCCAGGCAATGCTTACAATCAAGAGGAGCGTGTTGTTTGTGCTGGATACGACAATGGGGACATTAAATTGTTTGACTTAAAAACCATGTCACTGCGATGGGAGACCAACATTAAGAATGGGGTAAGGTGCCATGGGAACATGGCTTCACTCTGACTTCTGTGCGTGTGTTTTCAATCGTGTTACTGCCCAGTTGGTGTTGTTGTAAGAATGACCAATGGTTAGCTACGTATTTGCAAACCACACACACAAATGTATGTTTTTAGCAGTGGCTGCATGTATTGATTTCTCTATTTCCAGGTTTGCAGCGTGGAGTTTGACAGAAAAGATGTGAATATGAACAAGCTAGTGGCCACGTCGCTGGAGGGAAAATTCCATGTTTTCGATATGAGGACTCAGCACCCGACTAAAGGATTTGCTTCTGTTTCAGAGAAGGTATGGGGAGGTGGATAACTTCTTTAGCAGCATCTATTACAGAAGTTTGTCTCTTAAGTAGCTGGAAGCACCGCAGGTTTAAAATTGTTGTCTTTGGAGGCAGTAGGATCCCAGGTTAGTGGGGCAAGCTGTGTGATAGCATGGCCCTCAAGCAGGCACTGAAAGGACTCCCATGCATCCTGATGCCAGTGCTTCCTCAGGCTTCCTCTCTTTCAAAGCCTGTTATTTGGGCTCCTCTGGTCTTTGGCTCCTGTTGCAGCTCTGTGCACTCAGCTGTGCCCGTAGACTGGGGGTCATGTACATTGCAGGCTGCATCAAATTGTGATCAGCAAGCAAATTCAAATCTTAAATATATCCAGAAATAAAGGGAGCCCTCTGAACATGTTTTTGTGTTGTTTTTTTTTTTTTGTCCTGCCTGTATGGGCCTTATGTGGGCCTTGGAAATACTGATTTTCCTTCAGAACCAAGCATTTTTGATTTGCAGTATTGTGATTAAGTGAGGACATATGGAGAGAGGCTTATGGCTGAGTTTCCATTTAATATCTTTAACTTACTGTTTTCCACATCACCAGGCAAAGCAGGTAAGACGTTGGTTTGATCAGATAGCACGAAAGTATTTACTGAGTTAGAGTCTGTAGTAATAAACTGTGAAAGAGGAAGTTCTTATCTTTCATTAATTGCATTTAAAGGTTTCCTTTCAGACATTTGTAGACAGATGTGCATCAGGTCAGGTCATGCATGTTACAGATTTCTGTTGCCTGGCTGAGATTTAAATTTGAATTTTAGGTGCTCAGTTGTGTTTGCACAGCGTTTGTAGTACATTCACTTACAGTAATGTTATTTAGAGATGTCAGATGGTGAAATTAGCCCCATGGTGACGATGTCACCTAAGAGTCTGGAAATTGAGTACTTCTACAAAGCTCCAGACATGCTTTTACAGCCACTTGACCCATTTAGCCATACTAAGATGGCCGGTCGTGAAGAAGCTGAAGTAGTGTGGTGGCCTTGGTAGGGCTGCTGCTGCCTTATCTCTGCACTGGAGTGGGGCTTTTTCTGCCTGGGAACTGGCTGTTCCATGACAGCAAGGTTAAGGCAGGAGGGAGGGAAGGTACCTCAGAATGGTTGTTCCAGTGTCAAGTACAGCAGTCATAGAATCCTAGAAGGGATTGGGTTGGAAGGGGCCTTAAAGTTCCAGTGCCCCTGCAGCGGAGGGAGGTCTCTTCATACAGGTAACTGCAGTGCATTTTTGCTTCCCTTCTTGCAAAGCTCAGCTGTAAATGACTTCTGTACAATGCTGATTGTTTCCTAGGCACACAAATCCACCATATGGCAGGTTCGGCACCTCCCACAGAACAGAGATGTATTTATGACGAGTGGAGGAGCTGGGAGCCTTCATCTCTGGAAGTAGTAAGTGATGGTTACAGACAGGGATAGTTACAGACCTTCTGGTCTATAATGGGGGAATGAGAAACAAAACAACCGGTTATTGTTTTAAGAAGGAATCGTCCTAAAAATGGCATGCAGGGTCCCACTTCCAAGCTCAGAACTTCTAGTTAGAATTACTGCTACAAGTACAGAGGAAAAATGATTCTGGTGTCAGTATTCATCTGGAATCCTGAATTAATTCCTAAAAG